TTTATGGGTTTAATTATTTTAACAACACTAGAAGGTTTATGCCAACATTTTGGGATTGTTATGCCTGCAGACTTTATACCACAACTTGTTAACTATTAGGATAGTGTTCCAGAGATGGTGGATTATTTGCATTACAAATGATGTCTTTCTTTTCAAAGCCAAGACTCTGTAGGGAATCCAAATAGCTGATTTCAGGCTACTCAAAAACAGCTTTCAGAATGGTCACCCAGGCACAGATACTTTCCATTTAATGCACTATTATTGAAGCACGCTGCAGGGCCCAACAGCTCACACCAGCTTCTGAGGGTAAAGCAAATTACAGAGAATTATTGATGCACTGCCAAATGTTTGATGCTTAATGACAAAACCATCGTTCTGCCTGCTTTTATAGCCAATATAAAGATGCTTTTTTTCTGGAAAGTGATAGGCTCCAATGTAATTAAATACAGAAATTTAAATATTAGCAGTTTATTAAGCCTATGTGTTATATTTTATACCAGTTTATAATATTGTGAAAGATAATTATAACTGAAATGTGTAAGTTAAGTCATCAGGCTGTTTTCAAGCTGATGTGGAATATACACCGAAGGTAAATCTGATGAAGCAGTAGTTACAACAGGCACTCTTCCAGTTTCCAAGACCTCATCCTTTAATAACTTAAAAATATCCAAGTTCCACTACATTGTTGCCATTAAAATCTTTGGTGGCTTTGGTGTGTTCAATTTAGTAATTCACTTACCTTAAAAATTCTGCACTTTATTCTAAGTGTAATACCTAGTGAAAATGACCTTCCATATAAAATTATAGCTCTTTCTGCATATACTTTATCAGGAAGGTCTTGTTTTGGTGGAGCTTTGGGTTTTTTTCTCCTTTGTGTTATGCACCAATGCTAGGAACTCACTTAGTACCATGTATTTCCCATGTTTCTGTTCTCTGCGAGTGAATGTTACAATATGATGATGAACTCATGTTTCTGGAGGAGAGTTTGTGGTTTGAACAGTTTCTATTAATTCAATATTGGGAGTTGTGGTACAGAATTCTTATAATTTAAAATATATACTGAGGATTTAAGAATTGATTCTACTGCACCATTATTTCCTTTGGTTGAAGTTAAAAAATAATAGCTGGTTTGAATAAAACTTTACTTCCAAACAGAAAACAACTTCTTATGAGTGGGATGTTAAGAGGTGTTTTGGTAGACAGACTGTTTAAGGAACTATTGCTGTTTTTGGTTGGTTTTTTTTTTTTTTTAAACATCCATGAGAAGTACTGATATCCAGTTCTGTGAACTGCTGATCTCTGGGTCTGGCCATTCCTGTAAGGAGTGCAGATGGTAATCTTTAGAGAAGTACTCAGATTGTATTGTTGTGCCTTTGGTAAGCAAAGTAACTCAGTAAGATAACAAATTTGGAGGTTCATAAACGACCTATAAATGAGACTGTAAACAAGCATGAGGATTTCATTGCATTCCTTCCACTTTGCCTGGAAAAAAAAAAAAAGGTCTGAAAGAGTTATCTTTGGATAAAATAAAAAGTGGAAGTGATTTGGAGAGGTTGTTGATGGCTCTCCTCAGGAGAGCCATTTTGTTAGCCTGTCAGAAAAGATTATGGGATGCCTACTGATGAGGCCCTGCTAAGAGCAGGCACGGCTGTTGTGAGTGCTCCTTTGCAGCAGAAGGTGGTCTGGGTTTGATGTTACCCAGCTTCGTAGTAGCTGAGTTTAATGTAGAACATTGATTGCTTTTCTTGTACCTGTTTTGGTCTGTCATACAAGTCACCAGTATCGCGATCGTTGGGATGGAATGCCCAGTTTAGCTGCTCTCCCAAATTCCTTTCTAATCCTGCTTCCTGTAAATATTCCCAGGTTTTAGAATTGTGTGCAAGTGTCACAAGAGGAGTAGATCAACTAGGGAGAATTAGTGGTGTATTACAAAGTACTTAACAATAAGGTGAATGTAGTGCTGTGTGTAGGAAAGTAGGAGTTAAGTGAATTGGAGAGAAAAAAAGCTTCCAGAATAATAGGTAAAAAGATACTTATCAAAGACTGAACTGTAGTGTGCCCTGGCAGGTAGCCTGAGGGACTTCAAACGATGTGATTGATCTCAAGTGAGCAAGCAGAATACTCATTTGGTAGTCCCAGCCTCAAATATACAGCTGTAGGAATTTCTTACCATTGAGATGGAAGGTATTGCATAAGGGCCAGAAAGAGTCAGGATAATCTGACACACACACACAAAAATTAGTGTTAAATGTGGTAATTTCAAGATAGATAGGTAATGTGGCTATGCAACTCCTAAAACCATCATGTAAAAAACACGATTAGGAAACGCAGTAGCTTGGGTTTGTGCTAGCTGTTCCTCAGACAACATGAAGACCCTCCTTCGGAAAAGGGACACTACAAGCATTTTCAGAAATTATTGCTGTGGGGGTTGTATTTTGAAACTTTGGGTGTCTTCCAGATAATTTTTCATGCTGTTGTAGTCCTCTGTTCAGCATGTGAATTGTCAGGTGGTACCCTATTTTATGCAATGGACATTTAGGATAGTCATCAGTATTGCTCAGATACTAGTGAACATGATTTTTGAGAGCCAGTCCTGGTAGATTTCTAAATATTTGTTTGGTCATGGTATGATTTATGACCCTGGAAGACTAAGACAGTGAACTGTTAATGGTGGGGTGATACCCTAACTTTTGTAAGTATTGCTGGTCCTTCAGTGAGAAGGACCTACTCACTTGAGTGTAATGTGTCTTGGTGCAGTTTTTCAGCGTATTCTTTCTTGTACATTTAATTTAGTGACAGTGAACTTCAGATTCTCAGTGATGTGATCTGATACGCTAGGCTGAACTCTTTGGACAGTGTGTTGTGGTGTTAACCTAGAACAGTGGAGCCTGAAGCATTCTGGGAATCAAGTCACATGTATGCTTGCTTAAAGTTGTAGCTTGGGTAATGTTTGTATGCACCATGTGAAAAGCCTGATACCACAAAAAAATGGAGTTGGCTGTTCCTTTGAGTGGTGGAACAGATAACTGACAGTGCAAGAGATATGATAAAGGTACGGACCACAAATGATAGCTCACAAAGCACGTTTTCTTGGAGGATCTTGCTGAGAGGACACTGTGGGAGACTATCTTAGAAACCATGGGTGTAAATGTCAGATTTCCTGTAAAATTTCCTTTCAAACAAGAATAAAAGCTGCTGTCTCATCCCTATTTTAAGAAGCAGCTTTGCCTTCTCTTCAGTAGTTCAGAAGTATCGATACAGTACATCTATGAAGAGAACTGGCGGAGTAGGAAGATATTCCTGCTGGAGTTTGTAGAAAGAATAACAGAAAATAGCCTGTGCAGTTTACAAATGGTTGTATGCTAACAGGTAAACGTGCAAAACAAGGAGGGGAGAATCATCTAAATTCAACGGTCATTGCTCTGCTTGAAATTTCTGATTTGCAGAAGACAGGAAGATCAAGTATGTCAGTAGCTTCCTAGCATAACTAGTGTGAAACTGTTCTGGTATCATAGACACTAGACTTGAGATTTAATGATTAATTAGTGAAAATACAAGGTTTGTTCCTTTTTAGGTACCTTAGTACCCAAAGAAAATGTAAAGCTGTAGCTGGGAGACTTTTTTTTTGGTTTTGTTGGGTAGGTTACCCTCATCTGTTTCAAATACCTCTTTTCATTAGCAAATGGGCAGTGAGAATGTCTGGAAATATTTTTACATTTAATTTAGGTTTTACTATAACTAATGCAATCTATGAATGAGTTCAAACAATATTCCATGTATTTGCATTGTGTATTTCCAATTTTAAAAGGAATATAATTTTGTAGTTGCTCTGCTTATGCTAACTCTACCTGTATCAAATGGCAGGGATTAATGAAGCATTTAAGGTTTACTCTATTTGACTTTTGAATGAATTCAAACAATTTTTCATGTACTTGCATTTTTTATTTTGTAGAAAGATGGTTTTCAAATACTTGCTTGTGTAGGACTGTCATCTCTCTGTGTTAGTTTAAATACCAGTATTCATGGAATCTCATTGTAATTTGTAAAGACCATGGAAGTTCTGACTTAACGGAATAATGTTTGAATTCAGTCTTGACAGTAGGCATTTTATTACCATTGATTTTTTTGCACAACTTCAGCACTTGGAGGGACTACAGTCTCTATCTCAGAGAACCTTCAAGATCTTTGGAATGTCCATTCTGCAACCTGTGCATCCTCCTATAACTGTGGAAATAACCTGAAGGAAATACCTGTGTTATGAGACAAAAAATGTGTAGCTTTAGCATTCTCTTGCTGTGCAGCTCTGTAACGGTCTTTAATCTCAATATGCCTCTGCAAAACCTTCATATATAGTGCTCCTTGACTCTTATCAGACCCTGGTCCAGTTTTGATAGACTAGAAAGGAACAGGACACACATTCAGCCCACACTTTCAATGCCTTCCTATCTCTGTTGACTGGATGAAACTTCTGTCTCCAAAGGATAAATCAGTCTGTTGAAGTTCACCATCTCTCTTTGAGAGAGAAGTGGAAGCAAGATAGGTGTGGTTGACTGGAATGAGTTACCTCAAAGGATTAAGCGTCTCTGAAAAGTGGGTTCATATTTTGGGATTTAGTTGGATTTAGATACAAACATGATTGAAAATTAGGTCAGCTGCATCCCACTCTGTAGTAGAGGACACCTAGTTTTCATAGGGGCTGTAAGATTTTCTTTGTTTCTAGATACATTTCTAAGAGAGGAGTGAACAGGAGGGTACAATTAAATAAAGCAAAGGTAAAAAGGAAGTGCATGTGAGAAATATTGTAGCTGCTTTCCCTCTGCTCTCCTGTGGGGATGTTGTGGGGGGTGTTGGTCTTTTAGTTCTTGTTTAAAGATGTGGAACTTTAACTGGTTCAGAGATTCCACTTCAGTGTGTGCATATACATGCATAAGATACCATGTTCAATGTGCTTCTGTATTTGTAATATTTTTTTAATTATTATTTTCTTAATTTCTTTTTAGCGGATATAGCTCAGAGATACAGGATAAGCAAATACCCGACTCTGAAACTCTTCCGGAACGGAATGATGATGAAGAGAGAATACAGGGGCCAGAGGTCGGTGACAGCAATAGCAGATTACATCCGGCAGCAGAAGAGTAACCCTATTCGGGAGGTCCAGGATTTGGAAGAAATTCATTCTCTAGATGTAAGCCTTTCAAATGTATCCCTTCTGCATATATTTTTCTTCCTTTATTTCATTTTTAAATGTTGAACTGGTCAAACATAACATGTTTCAGATGCCTGTTTATTTCTTCTCCCATTCAGAAATGTTGCGAGTGCTTTTTTTTAAACTGAGTGGAAAATTTGATCATTTCCAGTATTACAAATTGTTCCAATGTAATAATTTTCAACGGCATTAATTTTGTTACAATAACTCCACTACCACATTATCTATTTTACTTTTAATTGTTTGAAAAGAATCGTGTTGTGTTTGACAAGATCTTTCTAATATTCCTCACTGGGAAAATTTTCACAAGGATGCTTCTGAATATTGAAAAGGTAGAAAAGAAATAATTTCTCTGCAGTTATTGACTGTTGAATGAATGACACTTCTTTTTTTGATATCCTGGGGGAGCAAGGTTAGTTTTTGATAATTTGAGGTAAGTTGTAATTTAACCTTTGTTTCTACAGCGCAGCAGAAGAAATATTGTTGGATACTTTGAGCAGAAGGATTCTGACAATTACAGAAACTTTGAAAGAGTAGCAAATATTTTGCATGATGATTGTGTATTCCTGTCTGCCTTTGGGTAAGTTTTATAATTTGTTGATTGCATGACTTCATTATTGAAATTATGTTAATAAGTTTTATGTAACTTAATTGAATTGACTTCTTCAATACTTTCAGTGTGACAGAACTGAAGGGACTAGACCTTAATAGATGCACTGAGACAGAAAACTCCTGGCCTTAATGTTTGCTGTGATATCCAACTTCCTTTTTTTGCCTTATTTTCTGTTTTTCACTCTTTGTCGCAGTAGTTTGAATGTAATATAGGAGGTTTTAGGGGGGATGCTAGGAAGTTGTGACACACAAACCTGCTTCTTTGGAGGGAGAGGGAAATAAGCATAGAAGGGCTTGGAAACTGGCAAAAAAAAATTATCTTTGCAGACTTAGTAACTCTTTTTAACAACGGGTTTGTTTTTTTCTTTAAAATACAATCTTTTTTTTGTAGAGGTATATTCATTCTCTTTGTAGGGTAGTGGGGTTTTTCATGTAAAGAATAATTCAGTAGTTGCTTGCTCATTTCCTCTCTCTGTCTTGGGAGAGGACCGTGTTCTAAAATGCCTCATTTCTGTGCCTGGATTCTTTCACACAAGTTCTGTGTCACTGTACAAAGTAACAGTTTAGAAAGGCGATTGCACAGATGTGATACACAGTGTGAGACTAGAAGAACAACCTACAGAAATTCAGTTTTCTACTTGTTATAATGCCTAATTTGAAGTGATTGGGCATGAATGTGAGTGCAGTGGTTTGCAGTCTACCCATAGTTGCAAGATCAGGAGCTTGCATGGATTATAGTAGCTTTTGTACTGGATACAGTTGCCCTAAGAGGTTTTTTAATTGAATGTAGAGGAGAATAGTGGAGACTGAGAGGATGTAACAAGATAGAAAATGTTTCATCTGTTTGAGTGAAACTTTGTCAGTCACTGATGCCTCTTCCAATGTATTCCTCAAAAAAAAAAAAAAAAAAAAAAGTTTTGCAGGAGTACATGTGGCTTTGCTCTCCTTCAGTTCCCCGTTGGGTATCCTGTGACTATATGCAGCTGTGGCTGTGAGATAATGAAGAAATCTTGTAAATCTGTGGTCTATAGGTCTGTCACTCTTATCCCCCAAGAGTGGGCACTATCTCAAATGTTTTCTCATGAATGCATCCATGCTTTTTCTTAGGGAAGCCAGACAGAGTTATTAGAATTTTAAATTACTTTTTGCCCCCTCATGGGACTATTCTTTTTAGGAATACATTTTTTAAAACTGTTAGTAGGATAACAACACTTAAGATTCTCCATTCTGTTGTTTGACTCTGTTCATCTTTCATTTGCTATTTGTCAATTCTGTAGAATGAGAAAAAAATCTCAAACCACTCAGTGTTAGCTTTTGGTTGTTGGACACCATTCTTGAAGGTAGTTATTAGGGTTTTTTTAATTTTTTCTTTAGCTATAAGCAATAAGCAATCATAATGGAAGAGATCAGGGTTTGATTGTAACTTCCCTGTGTAACTACAGATTGCACAGCAGGCTTGTTGTTACTCTCTCTCCAGTCTCCCATTACCTTCCTAGCCTGGAGCTGTTAGTGTTTTAAAGTGCAGCCTTTGAGAAAGAAACCTTGGAAACTGTGTTTTCACCTCTCAAGCTTCCTACAAAATTTTATGTGAAGAGACTTCTGAGGGATATATGGGCTGTATAACATTGTTTTCTGTTCAGTTGATATAGAACAAAATGTTTCATGGGGAGCTGGCTCTGATCAGTTGCACTCTTCTGACTGAGCATCTTAAGAGCCTCTGGGAGGAATTTTTGGTTTTGCTACAGATAGAGTTCAACAGGTATATGGTTTGGGAGGTATATGGTAACATGAGCTGTCATCTTCAAACTTCTAGTTTGCTAAAAGCCTCAAAATAATCAATTTGACAGGAAAAAAATAAATATGTCACTAGCTTCTGTCAAGGCAAAACTGTTTCCTGCTATGCCAAAATTATTCTGGCTTTAGGTAGTTGCAATAGTTTATTTCTTTTAACTGTATTAATGCTACTTAGTTGCAGATCACCTTGATGTTTAAAACCATTTTTAAATCAACAGATTCTTAGCAGTTCTGTCAAGGTCTGAGGTGACTGCAGAATGTGACTAATGAAAGAAGACTTGTGAGCAGAAAGAGATAGGACAGATACCAATGAAAAGATACTAGAGGTAGATTTTAGAAGTAAAACTAGAGAGGGATAAATATTTGTGGACGTGGAAGGGAATGGCCCTGTGCCATTGAGCACAGTGTAGGAAGCCAAATGCAGAAAACCAAAACAAACAGCCAAAAAATACTTCGATCTTAAAGAGCTATGAGGGACTGTAGGTAACTCATGGGAGAGTGTCATGAATCTAGGAACTATTTGAATTTTATGTTAGTGAGCAAACTGGGGAGGGAGGCAGTGTTTGTGTGGCTCCAAGGGGCTCACCTTATACGTTACTGCTTCAAGAAGAGACAAAATGAAAATGAAGTGTTTCCAGTTTGGTAGTTGTTTTAAAAAGCTGCATCTTCAGGCATTTGGGATTTTCATATCATGTCCCCACTTTGAGTTATGTGGAGCAAATCAGCCACAACTGTAGCTACTGATGTGGAAGAACCCAGAAGAGGACCTTTTGGGCTCCACTGCAGGCTTACCCTAGAGCATATCTTTCATTTTAGATTATTATCAGCTTACCAAGTAGCGATTGGGCAGGTGGCTTCTATGTCACTTCCTTCTTACTCAGTGAAGGATTGCCTGGGATGGAAGTAGTTTACCTCAGTGATGATGGTCACAAGACTCATTTCACATTATGGAAGCAGTCATTGTGTCTTAAATACAAAAATGTGTTTTAAAAGACATGTCTTTAAACCAGTCCAAATACTGATAGGTGTAACGTACTACGCAAAGTGTCTTTTCTATGTGCTAAGAAAAGGATAATTTTACTTTTTTAACCTTGTCCCTCTAAACAGTTCAGACTCCTGAAAGATGGGCCTCATGTTGCAGTGAGATAAATTGAGATATTTTTACTCTTCTGTTTTTCCTCCCCCTTAAATTTCTTCATCAGTGCTTATATTAAGTCCACAGAAGAGAGAGTATAACTGGGGGAGCTGGAATTCTTAGCTAATGTTTACCAGAGGCTGACATGCCTTCTTTTTAGACTATGCTAAAAGGAAAAGACACAGGTAGTTAATTTTACTCCCGTGGCACATGCAGCCAGTCAGTTCTGTCTTGCCAGCACGAGTTCTGTTGGAGCAGCAAGGCATGGGAGACAGGAATAAAAGGGGCCTCTTTTGATGTCTGAAGGTGGTGAAAGGGTTTATTTTTGTTGAGCACTTTCATTCCTTTTTTTTTCCCCCCCTTATATCCTGTGTTGGATGCACAGCTGTCCCCATTTGTTTGAATAAGAGATGATAATTTAGGAGGTACAAGCAAGCAGCTTTCAGAGCACTCTGCAGTGAGTGGGATTAATGAACCACAAAACTGTGCGAGGCAGGAGAGGAACTCAGTAAGGTCATATGTTAAGCTGAATGCCAAGAGGGAGCTGTGTGTGTTCTCCAGATACACACATACCATGTCATCAGTGGTCAGAAACTGCATGCTATGCCCTGGGCTCTCTAGATCCATTTTGAGGGTAAAATGGATGGTGTGGGTTTATTTTCTCTTTGCCTGTGCTGGTGGAGCACCTCAAAGCCCTTTATCAGGGTAGATAAGAGGTAAATTTCTAGTGTAAACAGTGGAACAGGAAGACTAAATGCAAACAAGAATCCACCTTTCTCTGCTTTCTTTCCTTAAGAATAGGTCTTTATATTTTTTAATTTCCATGCGTGTATTAGTTCATTAGCATTTTTCTCTCATGGTTTCTTATCCAAGGTTGTACTAGCATTCATCACTTGCAATTTGATGCTTTTAGTCCACCCTTTAGTCTAATCTTAGGGCTACATCTTGCTGACTCCCTCAATGCTCTCTCATCTCGCCAGGACAAGTTTCTGTGGAGTCCCTTTACAGTCTAGTATAAAGATCAAGGATTTTAAGTCTCAAATTTTGAAGGGAAAAAAAAAATAAAATAAAGGCTAGCAAATTAAAATATGATTTTTAGTATCTCAGTTACTTCATTTGTCTGTACCAAGACATGCTTACTGGTTGGTTTGTTGTAGGGCTATTTCAAAAGCAGAGAGATTTAGCGGAGACAATGTAATCTACAAGCCACCAGGGGTAAGTGTAACTATGTGTTTTATTCTGCTTATTGTCATTAAATGGGAATATGAGCTAGTGGAGACTACATTCAGATCATTCAGTATATTACTACATCTCAAATATTAATTTTATTTCATTACTAAATAGTGCGAGAAATAGGGTCATGGAAACTAGTGGCTTTGAGTCAGTGAAAAGGATCCTGGTTCCATTTATTTCTGATTAAGTGTGTAAAACCTAAATTTGTCAATTTAAACATCCATCTCCAGAAATGGGAGGTTCTTTTCTTAGAAACACAGTCAACTCATCATGTATATAGATATTTTGTGTTCTGTGGAAGTCTTTAAGATCTGTGAAGTTCAACAGTTGGTGCACTTCATGATGTTTCAAAGCAAGTGACAATTACGAAGTATTTTTCTGACTGCCACTTGCCTGTCTTGTGCATCTTGGCCTGTAAAGCCTAAGAGCTGTTCTCTTAATTAACTTTATGTTAAACTCTCATAGACATAGTTTTACTTGTGAAAAAAAATCAGTACAGAAGAAAATTGCAAGAATTGCTCTTTAGAAACAAAATATCTGAAAATCTGCTCTTTTCTCAGATCTAGTGTATGAAGAGAGTTGCTTACCAAAGAAAAATAAATTTTAAAAGACCTAAGAGGGGAGGGGAGGGAGTTTCAAACCTTGTTCTGCTAAAAAAGAATTTATTAGGTTACCTAATTTATATGGCATTTCTGAATTAAGGTGTGCTTAATCATGGCTGCAGCTTGCAAAGTCATGCTTCACTTCATGTTAACCAAAATTGTAATTACACTCAAAGATGGCAGCACTGAATTCTGAGTTAAAATTACTAGCAAATAAAGGAAAACTATTTATTCATCTCTCTGGCAAAGTAAATGTAGAAAACCAGTTGCAACTCCTGTAGGACATTGGGAGGAGTTTTTGGAGATTTTTTGTAACTATCAGCATGAAGAAACTTCTCTGCATTGAGTTTATATCTAACTGAGATACGATTTCTTAACCTGATGGAAGTCTAAATAGCTTTAATTTGAAACATTCCAAATTTGGAAAAAAAAAGTATATTTTCAGTTCTTAAGTTGTCTTAAAAAGTGCAGATGACTGCATAAATGATCGTATGGAATTTCTTTTCCTGTTGTAGTTTCATAATATAGTTAATAGAAATGTTGCATGCACAGGGCTTAATATTGATATACTACTGGCTTTCAATATTTATACAGATATTGCTACTTTTATCTTGGTGTAGGTAATCTTCTGTGTAGGTAGCAATGTCATTTGCACTGTTTCTCAACTAGTATATTTTTCTTTTCAACAGGAAAATGCTCCAGATATGGTGTATTTAGGCTCGCTAACCAATTTTGATTTGATTTATGCATGGACACAAGATAAATGTGTGCCACTAGTTCGAGAAATTACGTTTGAAAATGGGGAGGTAAGAATTTTATCTACCATTCTACTTTTGGGATTTCTTTCTCAAAACCAAAATGTCTCTTTCAAGGTCTCTAACCCATGCCAAAGAACTTTCTGCATGCTTTGCTTTTGGCAGAAAGTAGCTGTCAGGTAATGAATGTCCTTTGATTCTTACAGAGCTTTTTGGTTAGACTTGAAATTCACTACAGGGAGATTTGTGGTAGTTCAAACACTACCAAACTAAGAGGTTATAATATGCATATAGATAACAGAAGTGTCTGGTGATTTGCAGATTGTGGACTTTTGGACGCTAAGAATGCGAGTGTGTAAGAATCTGTGTCTGTAGGTACATGAGGGTGTGTAACACCTTGGATAGGTTGTATTATTCCTCTGAAGTCAGTACATATTTATACAGATGTTGTGACTAAATATTGATTTAAGAGCTAGATATAAATGTTATCTGACTATTTTTGCATCTTGAAAAAATGCTTCTTGTCATGTTAGAAAGTACCCATGTGAGCATGTCCATGACAGTTTGGGAGAGTAAAACAGCTGTGAACTGTCCTTTAGTTATAATCAGCTTCTAAAATTTAATGAGAAAGTTAGTTGTAGAAAAATGTTACTCAATTAACCACCTCCAAAGCATTATCTAATAATAAATAGGTATATTAGATGGGGGTTGTTCATCTACAGAGCTGGCCATCTTCTGGGAACTGTAGTAAAAACCACGTGGGGGTTTTTTGGGTGGTTGCTTTTGGGTTTCGTCAATCTGTTTAAGCACTGGCACCCTCTTATCTTCACATGCTCTTTCCTGTGGGTTTGTACATAGCGACAGCATCTGCTGGAAGCTCTGGATTAGAAACTAAAGAATTGGTTGTATGACTCATTCTCAGTTTGCACACTTTTTTTAATCCTGAATCTGCAGTGGATGTAACGCTGCTGTTCTGGCATGCACAGCGCATCAGGCTACAGCACGGGGAGGCGCAGGGTGGGATGCACAAAGTGGTTTAAGTACCATCTTCTACTCAACCCTGCCAACTCTTATTGGAAAGTTCTGTTAGTTAAACAAATTTTAATTCTTCATTTGCAACTCAATATGTAAAAGATGCCAGATGTTGCCATCTCCAGAAGTGCGTGGTAGATTTCCAGTGTACTTTTCCCGTGGGGAAACTGGACTTTGAATGTTAGAAGCCAAGGTTCATCACTGTCAGCTTGTACCACACACTGTGTCATGGTTTTTCTGGTTGCTCTCTCAGCCCTCAATTCCTGTTTATTTAGGCAGATATTTACAATTCCAATCTGATATTTTGCCTAGCAACATTTGTTTAACAATTTCAGTGCTGCCAGTACCCAAACAAATTTAAACATGCCAGAATTTAGATACTTCTGCCTGCTGACATTGTACAGTATTTAAATGGGCTCTTAATGCATACTGCATAATATTAGAGGGTAAAAATATGAAGTGCTGTGACTGTTATTCTACTACCATAAACACAGCCTACCATATAAATAAGGACAAAAATTCTTACAATAGACTTTGAAGTCAGTTTTAAAAATCAAGTTTGGCTTCCCTAAACTGATGGTAGATTGAATTTTGTTTTTCCCCCTTGTTTTCTTTCTTAATGTTTTCACTATCTGCTAAGTGTCACGGACATGCTAGCCAGAACGATTCCTGATCTGAACAGAGTTCATCATTATGACTTTAGACAACATACAGTAATTGAACTCTGAAGCAAGGTGTTCTTGCTTGAGAAGACTTTTCATTTAAGAGACAGTCCCTGTACTTGATTAGAAAAGGCTGTTTGGATCAGTCATATCATTCAGAAGAAATCAGCAATTGACCTGTAATCGGTCTGTTCAGTTTGATGCTATGTGAGTACAGTGAACCACATGGTTTAAAGGTGGTGCTGAACTGTAAGTTTTCAAAAGGGTAAAATGTTTCTCAAAGGCATGCAGAAGTAATGTGGGAAGCTCAGATCTAATTAATATCTTTTGATATTCTCAGTGCCTAACGAGATTGTAGCTTTTGAGGGACTAGGCCAAAGCTAATTAAATAACTATGCTACTTGTTGTGTCATGATGGTTGGACTTGATGATCTTAAAGGTCTCTTCCAACCAAAGTGATTCTGCAATCAGTAAAGGCACACTATGAAAGCTGGAATGGAAGAGCAAACATATGAAGGTACTTTATAGAAACCAGCTGGAGCCAGAATCAGCGAGGCTTTCAAGGCAGCTGTCCTAACAACCTGTTTGGAGATGAATTGGTCTTGTGACTATAACTTGCCAAGGTTGTCCTTTAGCTGCTTGCAAGCGAGAAGGGAGCTTAGAGATGGAATACCAAGCTCTGCTAGGGACTTCTCCCTCTGGAAATTTACCTGTTGAAATGAGTGAGGAACCAGAGCCATAATCACAGAGGTACAAAACAGACTTTCCCACCCTCTAATGAGAGAGGAGACTTGAGACCCAGCCAAATATGTCTGTGTAAAAATGGGAACAAGCAAATATGAGTAGTTTTTTGGGAAGTGAATTGGGAAGCTTGGATTTCATCAAGAACACTGAAGTTAGGAGGATCTTGTCAATCTGCTGCTAAAATATCAAGCTCCAACTCACCTGACAGACTTGAAGGAGCATGCAGCCATTTCGTATACACTATGTAACTGGCTGCCTACTGATACGAATGCTTTTCTGCCAACTTACTGCAAATAGCATGTACCTGAAGAAACTCTTCTGTTGGCACTGATTTGATAACACATTATTATTTCTTCAGTCAGGCTCTAACAAGTTGCACTGATGTTCAAAGATGCCTAAAAATCACTTTTGAAGCAAGCAAATGCATGTTGTTTGTGCTTTGTTTTGGTTTTGAGTAAAAGAAAAATCCTGAATAAATAATTCAAGGAGTTCCTACATTTATCTGTCCCTGGACAGATCTTTAAAAGGCACTTGAGCTGCAAGAATGCATTCTTATGAGGAGCTAAAGCTTTGGTGTTCTACCAAGGGTTTCACTGCTTCATCAATTTTAGTAACATACTAGCCTCTAAATTTAATAAAGCTGTTATAAGACCACCAATCAGAATAAACTGGAAAAAAACTCAGCACTTAATTGTAACTGATATAACTATGTCATTAGCGTCTGCTTTTTTCTATTTTTTTTTTTTTTTTTAATGGAGCTATTTAAAGAGATTTACTCATTTTGTTATGCTAAGAAAACACCAACTTACTGCATGAACCAAGTTAGGACTGGGTCTAGTATATACCCTCAGCTTTTCATAGCATTTAATACCTTTCTGTTCCTGGGAAGATGGGTTTACTCAGAACTGGGCTGTTTCTTTTGAGCAAGTATTCCAGTGGAAGTGTATCCCTTCCTGAAATGCTGACAATGAAATACCTTCATCCTTTATCTGTTGTGCATGGAAGAGGAAGGAAACATGGTTAACTGTAGCACTCGTGTATCTTAGATGAATGGTCTGCAGTTAACATCTTTAGTTCTGCGCTTCAGCTGCTTTTAAAGTAGAGATCCCATTGAATTTGAAAATTGCTGGAATCACATAGTTAATTGTCCTTAAGAAATTGAAAAAATGAGATTTGTCATTTGTTTTCTGTGCAGGAACTGACAGAAGAAGGCCTTCCTTTTCTCATACTTTTCCACATGAAAGATGACTTGGAGAGCTTAGAGAAATTCCAGCAGGAGGTTGCACGACAGTTAATAAGTGAAAAAGGTTTGCAGTTACTCCTACTACTTCTTCGGTTTACTGGTGTAAATTTTCAGGCAAACTCAGCAGAGTGGAAGCGTAGGCAACAAACAGAATCCTACTTTTAAAGCTCTTGAGGCTGACAAGCTTTATATACTTTTGACAGTGGGGACCGACTCATTTGGAAATTATTAAAATAGAAACACAATTTATTAGCAACTATTTCAGAAATCCTTCTTTTCTAAATGACTTAATGCAGTTTGAGAGGGCATTAAATAGAACTTCCGTTTGTTATTGTGGCCAAAAACACTTTAAGAAAATCCATTGTTTTGGTGGTATTAGTTATTTAAAACTGTTTTCAAGCTTTGCGTGTTGTGTCTGTCTAATATTTCCACCTGTAATAGTTATGAAAGTAGTTAGGGTTTCAAGATAATAAAAGAATTTTAACGTGGATTTCTGTCTGCTCACGATTTTAAGGTACAATAAACTTCCTCCACGCTGACTGTGATAAGTTCAGGCACCCACTCCTCCACATTCAGAAGACTCCAGCAGACTGCCCTGTAATTGCCATTGATAGCTTTAGGCACATGTACGTCTTCCCAGACTTCAGTGATTTGTCGTAAGTATTTTTCTTTCTGCATTTTAATTTGAGAAGAACAAAGCAAAAAACGTGCTCGTATTTTAATCAGTGCTGTGGTAGGAAGATGAGTAAATCTGGGTTAGGTAAGACTGCCTTTGTGTCATTCAGTGTCAGAGCCTTAAAGCAGTATGAGTTGGTGTGAAGTCATTGTTTAAGTGGAGTTTCATTGCTTTGTGAAAGAAGAGAATCCTACATGAAGTTTTTAGAGGCTGCTCTTATATTTCAAAGTTATGTTATTTTCCACAGTAGTTAGGCATTTGGAGCTTGGTGCGGTATCTTTAGTGGTGGTCTAGGTATATCAATTAGCTTTAAAAGGTTTAAAATAGTATGTGGAATGCTTAAGTGCTGTTATGCAATGATTACTGTAAAATGCACCACATAAAAATTCCCAGCCTGCTCATTTGTTTTTTCTTGCTGTGTAATTCCAGCCTTCCTGCAGTAGCCTAAACCTGGGAAGCGGGCAGAGAAATCCATGTGTGGGTTTCTGAAATTTTCCACATCCAGCTTGGAAAATGGCAGATCGTTGGCATGCTACCTTATCCAATTTTATCCACATTCCCTGTGAGAGAAGTATCAGGGTGCTTAGGTGAAATACTACTGTGATAATCCTCTTTCCTTCCGCCTATCTCTTCATGTTATACTGCCTTGGGAGCAGAAGCGCTGTCTCTCATGGTTCAGTTGAGGGGTGAAGATGTGTAGATGTTATCTTCAGGGGCTTTCAGCATGAGACAGGTGCCCTGTCTGTCCTCAGGTTGAGTGTTAGACTCCAGTTTCTGTCTCGAGGGAGGTACCTGTATACACACTGCTTGTTAAGTCCTGGTTAGATGCCTAGGCTTTGAGACTTGAAGTTTTGATTGTTCATACTTTAAAAAAAGTCGTGGTATTTAATTTTTGTCAAAGCCAAGGATTCAAAGCTCAGACTTAGCATGCAATGTGAACATAACCCCATGTGTAATTCTGCCATTCCAGCAGGCTTTTTTCTGTCTGAAATGTTGACACGTGGAAGGAGTTCAAACCTAGCTTCTCCCCAGAATTCTCCACAGGCATTTTCTCAAGGTGTAGTCTGTTTGGTGTATCTCACTGCACTTTTCAAATACCTAAAGCTCTGTGTGTTGAAACTGATAGAAACTATGGGTTTTTTCTCCCTGTGCTTCCTATATCTTTGGAAGATCATGTACACCACACATGCCAGCACTTTAAAAAAAAAATAGTGGGATATTTACATTTTGAAAGCACTCTTTTGATTGTCATTTTTGAAACCCCTAAAATAAATAATTATTTCTTATAGGGGCAATAGAGATGTTTGGTTTAGGCTTTCATGGTATGTGTCTTACACATTCTTTCTGTGAAATGCTGTCAGAATAATAACAGCTACTTGCTTGTTTGTATACCAGTTGTTAAATACAAATGAAGGTGAGAGAGAGATGTCAGGTTTGTAGGCAGTTGCTTAATGGTAAATAATTATTCAACACCTTACTCCAGGAGACTGAGCTGATACTTAGAAATAACTAACAAACAGCTTGGAAACAAGGAGAGCTTGAAGCTCCTGGGGTGATACTCTTTTGTGTATATGTTTGTGGTTTGGGTTGTTTGGTTTGGTTTGGTTTGCTTGGGTTTATTTTAATCATAGATAAAATCTTCATTCTGAGACTTTCATCTACCTGCGAGGATTTCTGCCACTTTAGTACATTTTCTGGACTCTTACAAACTGGCCCCAGACTGTCTCTTGTAGTCTCAGTGCTGCCACCAATCAACAGGGTTTGGATATAGTACTTTCAGAACTATCCCATTAAAAGATTTTCTCTCTCTTTATGGAGTTGTCTTTTTGGAGATAGCCAGTTCATAGGCAAATAAGACCACCACCCAATATTTTTTCCTCATACTTTGACCACCTGGCCCTATTCATCCTGCTGTTCCAGGTCAGAAATGGTAGCTGGAGCTACTCAGGAAGGAACTGGCTGAGCTACAGGAGGTTGTAGCCACCACATGCCCTTGCTGCATTAGGAGAAGAGGCTGCAGGGAAATGTTTCCAGCAGTGTGCCTGCCTAGGCCAGGGCAGGAGCCCAAGGTAAAGCAGGGAGCAGTGATTCTGCTGTCCCTACAACTGGGCTGATTGAGCCCCCTTCTCTCCATCACTGCTAATTCCTGATTTTTATCTGGGAACGGAGGAGACCCCTGGAAGTACCACTATAATGCTGATGAGTTGCAGATGTTGGTGCCCTCTGATTCTACATGATACAGTGTTTCATCCACGGTGCTTTCTGATGATCTGAAATGCTGCTGAGTATTTCATCTGACCACCCTCTGTCGTCCTTTCCTGTGTGGAATAATTGGTCTGATGAAGGACTCCCTCCAAAACCTGTCTCCATTCATACGTTACCTTTTGACTGCATGCATAGTGCTTACATTAGAGGGTTTTTTCTCATCTTTATAATACTAGATCAACTCTTCATTTTAAGTTTTTTCGCCCATTTGACGTTTCACAAATAAAATCGGATGCTGCGGTTTAGTACGTTGGCTGTGGGTGACAGTAGATGATCTCAGATTAGATTTACATTGATATCCTCTTAGTGCTTATCTCCAGTGTCTGTGCAGTGCTCAAGCACTAGAGAGCCTTTCAAAGAGGTTTTGTCAATAGTGCTACCCAGCTGCCATTTGTATCTGCAGGCTCTGCGTTTGCAGCCCGCTGTTCCCTCGTACATTATGGCTGGTGGGGAGCTGGGGCGAGTGTGCAGGGAAGTTATCAGCTGGTACAGCTCTGTGGGAGTTATTGGAAAGATGAAGTACTTGCTGTGTTCTCAAGAGACAGTGGAGAGAAAAAGAAGCTGGTAGGGTACCTTAACAAACCATTTGGCTTCCTGTTCTCCATTCATCACCTGAAGGCAGGCATAATGTGCTAGAGGAACAGGAGCTGGCCGATCTAAACAGCCCGCTTTAAATCTTCTGTGTTTGGACTTCACTTGTGATAAACATGGGTATTTCTGTTGGATTTGTTCCAGAGTTCCAGGTAAACTGAAGCAATTTGTACTAGACTTGCATTCGGGAAAACTGCATAGAGAGTTTCATCATGGCCCTGATCCAACTGATGTAGCACCTGGACAGGTAAGGCTACAGCAAAGACATTTAATTTGGCCATTGATTAAAGACCTTTTTTTACTCCTTGTCAGAGCTATACTTTCTGATAGGTGTGTACTTTTAACTTCAGCCTCCTGGAAGAGAAACGTGTTCATAGTAGCTTAAGGTTGCCACTGCTGCTTGGCTCTTCCTTTAACTTCCTTCAGGTGAAGGCGGGGAGAGGTATGGTGCTGGTGCCTGTTTGCCTGGAATAAGGGAAGAGTATCAGAATATGTACTTTCTCCACTGAAGTGGAAATTTATTGGGCTAGATGACTCTTCTGAGCTCGCAGAGCTGCTGTTGTGTTTCCATGTGATTTCAGTGCAAAAACTGGTGATACATCATAGATGCATTGTCTCCCACACAACACCCTATGAGAGGGTGCTTCCAAGGGGAAACATCAACTGATTGGATCCTTTATATATTTACTTGTGGTTACCAATCCAAGCAGGAGGCAGATTATTAGAGCATAAACAAAAGATTGATAAGAGGTAGTAGAGCTTAGTACTTTATTAACGCAGTTAAGGAGTGGCATTAATAGCGGTCACAGGCTGCACTTGTCAGTTTGGTTTCCTCATTGTTCTGCTCAAAGGTTGTCACACTGCATAATGACATGCCTGGAAGTCACTCCTGGGATCTCTTCAGTAACACAACTACTAAGATCCTGCTCCAGACAAAATTCAGGAACACATCAGTGTTCAGTTTAATCCAGGAGGCAAAAAAGAAAGGACATCAGCAACCCTGATTCCCTCTGCTCTCCCTGGTCTTTGAAGTGTGTCTTGATCAGCCTTATATCTTCCTGGTACACCACTCAATTCAGATGTTTGGTGTCATGCTGAAAAGTCCAAATGTAACAGCCTGTCAGGAAACCTTCTCGTTCCCTCATGCACTCTCTAAATAAGTAACTGGTTCTAAACACATCTTTTAAGTTATAAGTTGCATTGCTAAGGGCTCCAAGAGTCAAAGAGTTGGTTCCAGAGGAGACCTGGTGCCATTGTGTTGGGGTGCCTTGAGCCATCCCAGAGCCCACAAGTGAGGGATTATGGCTGCAGGCTCATTTTTGTGGTCTGCTGTGGGATAAGGCAAGGGTGGCACTGTGCTGTGCCACGTGAGTGAGGCCTCTTGCTGCCCTGCTCGAAGTGTGAAGATTTAAAAACATGAAAGCCCCAGAGCTTTTGCCTTGGGCCAGGAGGAGGACTGCTTTTGAACATTGTCATGACTGGCCATGAAGACCTGAGGGCTGAATCATCTCCGCAGTAGTTCATTTCCTTGGTCGCTCCCTGCGTTTCTCAGGAGTTCATTGAGCAGCCAGAATTCAGGTCAAGAGGAGGTGCAGAAAGCAGGGCTGGAGGCTGAGGCCTGGGCCAGGCCGTCGGTCAGCCCGGAGCCAGGCAGGCGTGCAGGGGCAGACACGCCGAGGCAGTCGCCGTGTGGAGGAGGCGTGGCCAGGGCAGGGGGAAGCCGGCCAGGTCCCTGGGTCCTGCCGTGTCCAGGCCCCTTGCCTGGAGCTGCAGCCTGCCTCTCGTCTCCATTTTGCCTCAAGAAAAGCAGATCAGCCTGGGGTGGGGACTTTAATGTCTTCATCAGTGATACAGACAGTGGGACTGTCATCGGCAAGCTTGCAGATGACACCAAGCTGACTAGTGCAGTTGGCATGCCAGAGGGACCTGGACAAGCTTGGGAAGCGGGCCCATGTGAACCTCATGAGGCCCAACCAGGCCAAGTGCAAGGTCCATGTACATGTCATAGAGAGCAGCCCTGAAGAAAAGGCCTTGAGGGCACTAGTGGATGCAAAGCTGGACATGAACCAACAATACATACTTGCAGCCTAAAAGGCCAACCCTATCCTGGGCTGCAGCAGAAGCACCATGGCCAGCAGATGGAGAGAGGTGGTTCTGCCCCTCTGCTCCCCTTTGGTGAGACCTCACCTGGAGCGCTGTGTCCAGCTCTGGAGCCCTCAACACAAGAGGGGCAAGGACGTGTTAGAGCGGGCCCATAGGAGGGCCACAAAAATGATCAGAGAACTGGAGCATCTCTCCTGCAAGGACAGGCTGAGAGAGTTTGGGCTGTTCAGCCTGGAGAAGAGAAGGCTCCAGAGAGACCTTATGGTGGCCTTGCAGTACCTGAAGGGGGCCTGCAGGGAAGCTGGACTGTGTAAGGGTGTATAGCGATAGGACAAGGGACAATGGTTTTAAGCTAGAGCAGGGTAGATTTGGACTGGACATTAGGAGGAAGTTCTTTACTATGAGGGTGGTGAGGCACTGGAACAGGCTGCCCAGAGAGGTGGTGGACGCCCCATCCCTGGAGACATTCATCTTCAGGCTTGATGGGGCTCTGAACAACCTGATCTAGTTGGGAATGTCCCTGCTCCCTGCAGGAGGGTTGGTATAGATGACCTTTAGTGGTCCCTTCCAACCCAAAGCATTCTATGACTGATTTCTCCTCTCCATATGGCATCCTGCCATCTTGTGGAAGATGTGTGTGCCTGTGCCATGGAAACTCTGGCCTTCACTGGGCTGGAGGCTGCTGTCTTAGGCTGTGTATGTCCCTTGAATTGCACGCGTGGGTAATATAGGTTCCACAGAAAACAAATCCTATAGTATTTTGGCAGTGATGCTGCTTTTCCCTCGTGTATCTCAAAACCACATAAACTTGAATACTTTCAAAGCAAGTAGTAGCTAGACTCAAACAGTTATATGGTGAGATAGATTTGAAATGCTTTTTAAGTCACTTGTACAGAAACTCATGTGATGGCCATTATCTTTGAGAGGTGGCAACAAAAGGAATGTCCTTAACTGGTGCTGCTTAATTAACATGTGTGTGCATGTGGTTTCCACCTACTTGGGACTTACCATGTGCCTGGCAAAAAGAAAAACCCAACCTCAATTTGTGAGCATGCTGGCCATTCGTGCACTCCCATAATTAATGTTAGAAGTTCAGTTAACAGAGGTGATTGATTATTAAAACAAGTCTAACAAGCAATTTTACTGTTTGTTCTGTTTTTCAGCCAATTCAGGATTTAGCAAGCAGCCCACCAGAGAGCTCCTTCCAGAAACTGGCACCCAGTGAACATAGGTACACCTTATTGAGGGAAAAAGATGAACTTTAAAAACTTGACATAATCTTGCAAGCCTTTCAGACAGCAGCGTTGACTTCCGTGTGGTGGAAATAGTAAACCTATATTTTCATAATTCTATGTGTATTTTTATTTTGAATAAACTGAAAAATAATTTGGTTTTTTTCTCCCCAGGCTTGTAAATACCTTTGTTTGGTGGGTCATTCTGTACAGCATCTTTCAAACAGTACCTTCCTAATGCTATAGTGAAATATCAGAGACCCAGCCAGACTCTTGATCTAACTCTGTTCTGTAAAACTTTTATAATCCAAATGAAGGTATCCTCGCCAGAGACATGCTGTTAACTTGCACTATCCCATTAAATAGGACTTTTGGGTTGTTTTCTGTGTAACCTTGGTAGTATGTGCTTTTTCTTCTCCTCCTTCATGTGGACAGCTATCCTGGTAATCTTTCTTTGTCACATTTTTCTCCAACTTAAGAGGGTCTTCTATTCTGGATACTTGGGAGGGGAATAAATTAAAGTTTTACAGAATCTCGTGTGGTGCTTTACTGGGTGTAAATGTCTAAGCAATTAATCCTGGCTCTTATTAAAATACCGAGCAAGGAAAGGAGAAGTTTTAATGGTAGTGGCTGTACTTGGAATCAAAGGGCTGCGCTGACCTGCTCTCATCTCCTGCCATTATCATTACCCATGCAGCTGTGTTACAGTAACATGGATGTTGGAAACCTTTTGAAGGAAGATGATTAGGGCTGGACTGCCATCTTAGTCTTGTCAGTCTTAAATTAATCTCTTTGTGTATGTTTTACAATTAGACTTTTTTTTTTGTCTTTGGGTCCCTTCCTTCCTGCAGACGTTTGCTTTCTGAACAGCCACTGCAAACTTTCTGTTACTCTTTGTCTGGCTTGTGCCTTATTTGTTGAGCACTCTTTGGATTTGGCTCTGAAGAAGGAATTGCTACTTTCCTTCTGGGCTTTTCTGTTGTGCATTTACCAGAATGTGGGCTTTTCTTCATGAATCTTCAAACTGCTCGATGAGATGAACAGAGAAACCATAACATGGAAAAAATACCTGTCAATTTGGGGTGCATTGCTGGAGATGAGTAAGTACAATACACTTAGTACAATCAATTTAGGTCCATGACCTGGGCCCACAAGGTTTAGTGTCTGTGAGAAGCAACTTTGTTCTTTGGGTAGGTGGACTACTGGGTTCGTATTTGCTTCAGTGAGTGACCCAACTTCTGCAGCTGACAGCTCAGGATTCCTTTTGCCTCTCAGCTTGGTGCCACCTACTTGGTCAGTGACCAGACTGACGTGGTCCTGTGCAGCTGTGGCAAAAGGTGACGCCAGGAGAGGCTGCTGGATCCAAGCCCTGCAGCAGCAGGCACCTGAGCTTCCCAGAGGGTGATTCTGAGGAGTTGCTAGTACCAACCAACACTGAGCTCCAGCTGAGTGGGCGCAGAGTTGGTAGCTATGATTTATTTTACAGATGTGGGCTCTCGTCAGGTTTGTGAAAGGCACACTAAGGACTCGAAAGCCAGTTCTCCTCTCCCATTCTCCATATCATGCCAAATCAAGCATTTTTGGCAGCTGCTTTATACCACCTTCCACTTGGGATCTAAAGATGTCAGCAGGGTATGGTTTTAAGGCTGCCACTTGTTATCTGCAGGTGGTGCTACAGAACTTCTGGAGTTGCTCAAGGACCTCAAACTTTAGTCAGTTCCTACTTGGGTGCCTCCAAGTATTCATCTTACTCCTCTGAGGTTCCTGTTTTTCCTTGTGATTCTTATTTATAAATGCTGTTTGGTCGAAGTCTGAACTTCTCTTTAGGGAGAGAGATGACACCTCATCATACATCATACTCCAACAGTCCAGTGGCTGGTGCTTTCAGCTAGAAAGTGAGAGAGAACCCTCTCCACCATTCCTTCATCTGAGTTTGCTTTTCTGAGTAAGGACTTGTTCCCAGAGCATTGGCATTCCAGCACTAGGTGGACAATTAGATGTAGCAATTTTATGGCAGTAATTTCATTGTGCATTCATTAGTGTTGGACCCGATTCTCTTGGATTCTTGGCCGTTGACCTGGCTGTACCAACTCTCAAGTGATTTTTCTATTTGTAAGCAAAAGGTTAAGCAGCTAAGGTCTAGTTATGCTTGTCCAACATGATGTTGAGTGTCACTTGACCTTTGAAGTTTCTGATGACAGAATTTGCCCAGAGAGCAAGTTCTGGACAAGATATGTTTCAAATCGAGCCCTTCAGCTCTGATCATCTACATGATCATCAATGTGAGCAGAGCACCAAATGTACCACTCCCTTCAACACTTCTCGAGGCTTCCTTGGGAAGCTGTCAAACATTATTAGTGTTGTCCCCATACAGAACAAAACCAATCCAAGCTCTTTTTAACTGAAATTAAGGAGTCCATTTCTGAGCTTGCGTATGTGTAGGAGTTATTAGATGGATGCAAAATTTTTGAAACTTCTGTTAATTTCAGTCAATGTAAATATTTCAGTAGCTGAAGCATGTGTTTGGTAACTCAATACAGGATTCTTAAATCTTGGTAATGCAATTATTTTAGTAATATAAAATCTGTGAGGGATTAATCTTTCAGATGCTGGAAGGAAATAAACCCCACTGTTCTCAGTAAATGCTACAACCAGTCTCATAGGTGAAAACTTTTATTTGGTCTGAATTATTTGCATCTTACATTTCTTTTGACTAACATACCTAGCAATTTCAATGCTGGTTTAGTTACTTAGATGCCCATGTTTCTTCATATACGTAAATACTCTATTTTTAAAAAATCATAGCTTAAATAATAGTCTTCCAAGTCTAGCGTGTACACAGTGTTTTGAAATTGCTTCCTTAAAGACCCAAGGAGGAAGAATAAGTTTTGTGCTAGACGTTTCACAAAAGGGGTGCACACCAAGCCAAATTTGTATAAGCTATGGCAGGAATTCAGTTCTATGAGTTTAGATTGTCCTGGCATTAGTCCAGCTCGTGGGGGGGAAGGGGAGTCCACACTATCTGATGTGGCTACTGTCAGGCCACTGCACAAGGTTTCAAAGCATATAGTAGGAAAGCAGAGAGATTTTTAGAATCATACAAAAAATCAAGTGCAGTTTCTGATTTAAGAACATTCTTTTTCTTACTTTCTTCCTTTATAATCTAGAAATTGCATATCCACAGAAGGAACACTCTTACTATCAAGTTGTTACAAGCTCGTTAGATGTGTTTACATCCGAAGTAGATGCATTTAAGGAAAAGCACTTTCTGCCTGACAGGAGGGAAGGAGCTGAAGGACCTGGGTGACGATTCCACTCCAGCTGGTTTTCCAGAGCCAGGCACTGTGGCTTTAACTCACGGTTTTGACGACATTTGCAATTACCTGGGAAAACTGTTCTTGCATGTGTTACTTCCCTGAGCCTCAGACCCACTTAAAATATTTTGACACACGGCTCTGACCAATAGCAATTTCAATCACATTTTAAAAGCAGTAAGGAAGAACTGTTCAGAAAAAAGAGATTTGTGCTGTAACTAACAGTTGCTTAAAGTGTCTCTAGGCACAAAGACCTGTCATCTGTCCTTAGCAGACAGTTAGTTTCAATGATGGTATCAAAGTACAGGGTAAGAAAAGTGAGCTCTTCTCATATTGTGCTTCCTTAGACAGTGTTCCCTGCTAAGGAACCTTATCACTAAACACTGACTTCAGTGGTCACCTGATAAAACCAGACAATTAATCCAAGCAGAGCTCTGGATGAAGTGAACAGTCTTAAAAGCTTTAAAAAGCAGCTTCCCAACCTCAATTTCTGTTCCCTCCAAACAGTAGCAGCAAGAGTGTGGGAACTGTCCTGGAAGGATGGAGGTAGGACCAAATGCTGAATAGTAGATTATGTGACAATAGTATGGTTATATGATAATAAAAACACATTATCACTTCTGTATTTAACAAGGAAAGTTTCAGAAGCAAAAAGCTTCTTAAGCAGCAAAGTAAGGATAGCAAGAGTAGCAGGCACCTGCTATAAAAAGAGAGCAAAAGCCCCACCAGCATCTCACCACATACAGGGTCCACATGTCCCAGAACCCTGAAAAAGGCTGAGAAGCTGCTCTGCAGTGTGGGTGGCCCCAGTTCAGCAGAAGTTTGGGAACAGAACAGGACGCAGGAGGGGTGCAGCTGACCCAAACAAGCACAGTTTAGCTTGTTGTAAAGGGTATCATGGTGGTATTTTCAAAGCAGTCCCAGGGCCTGGGGGTGTCAGCTGGCACTGGCACCATTTACAGGGCCTCGCCACTCCACCATCCTTTGACCCCGTGCCTGATGCCACGCTTGAGGAATAACAAAGACTTGGAGTGGGCCTGGCTGTGGCACCACCTTCCAGGGAAGCTGTTCAGCTCTCCTACCAGAGCACCGTTGGTGACAGGAGATGAGAAGCAAAGGCAACATCTAGCACTGAGTGCTGCTGAAATAAGCTGGGGCTTCAGGCTCAGAATGGCAGAGCTTGGTGTTCTCGCATGTTCTCGAGACAAGCCAAGGAGCTGAACAGCCATGGAAAATTATTGGTCTCCAGTGGCAGTGCTGCAGGGTTGCTGCTTAGATTGTCTAATCCTTAACTACACCTTGAACAACATAAGGCGTTTACAAATTTAAAACAGAAAAAAAAATGGTGTCTGAAAAAGGGGAAAAGCTGCTCATGATGCTGGCCTGATTCAGCTGGTGGAGGCAGATGTGGGATATACAGAAGGGTTTGTTTCCAGGTTCCTCACCCAACTTTTTCACCTTTTCTTCTGGCTGCTAAAGCTTTCCTGTGCGTAACTGAACAGGCCTAGTCAGCCCTGTCCCGGGGGTATACACAGGAGGAGTTCAGGAGCCCAGGTAAATGAAAGTAAATTCAAGTGCTATGACCATGAAACATAGAGAAAGCTTACTTCCTTTTCCTTGGAGCACCAATAAAAGCTCCAGCTTCATGGGAAAGCACTGGGGTTTTCCAAATATCTATCTTTGTGTTGTCTGCAAGACACTTTGTGCAGCTTTGGCATGAAGCACCTGGCACCTGTCACTGCAGCTGTGCATAGAGCTCACCTAACCACTGTATAATTAAAAGTTATCCATACAATTCTCAAAGAACTGACATCACCACATCTGAAAAATGAAACCCTGTCGTTACTGTTTCACCCTTCAAGTCACAGTACTCTTGTCAAAATTCACACAACTCAGCCTTGCATTTGAGTGCAAGGCTGCCAGTCTGTCGTTAGAACGGCTCCTCCACCTTTGTTCCTAGTCAAAAAGAATCTATAATTCAGCTGGATTTTTTGACACTTTGGTGAGAAAGCTCTGGACAGCTCGCAGAGACCTGCTCGATCTTTTTTTGTTTTCTTCTTTGTATCAGTTTTCCACCTGTGAAACCCAAAATCCCACCACCAAGTGCAGCTGCAATTCCTGCCACTTTGAAGCCTGCAAGGAGACCGATAGGACCCCCCACCACTCCACCGATGACTGCACCTGCCACAGGCAGAGCTGCCAGCTTGTATTTTGCAGCCTGTAAAGGGAAAGAAAAAAAGAGTTAGCATACTTGCCTGTGGTGATGTGCATTTCCCCCTCATTGCTCTTGGCAATGAATTGAATGCTCAGGGACAAATAAGCTTTACAAATTAGTATTTAGAAAAAGGTGGTCTGCTACCCCACGTGTAGGACAGAACGTACTAAAAACAATTCAAAATGGAGCTATCACGTGTGCAGTTGTGAACCAGGCCCTTTCACATGGTTCTGGCTGACTACATACACTCTCTATTACCTGGGTTCCATCATTAAATCAAATGAGAAACTGAGAAAGCACTCTGACTTTTCAGTAACGTGCCTGAATCTAGGTTTGTGGCTCATTAGCAACTATTGCCATCTCTGCACAGAAGGGATTGAAATTTCATGTTACTATCAACGTATCATATACTGTTTATGCTTATTTGAGTCTTACGAGCCAATCACTGAATGCATTTGCCTTGCAGGTAAAACCAAAGTAGTATCAGAACAGCATAAAAAAATGCCAAAAAAAAAAGGTGTATTTCCAAGTAGCCTGAATATGATAGAAAATTACAAGAGGGATTGATTTCTTTTTCCCCTCTGCTACCTGTGGGTCATTTCTTCCCTATTCCCTTAATTGCTGGCTCCCCCAGCACTAAAGACGGCAGATCAATGGGGTTAATGGCCAGGGCTGCTGGGAGGCCGCGCCCCATCGATTCGCCAGCGGGAGCAGATCCCTACCTTCCCCAGGCTCTTGGTTCCCTCCTCAACATTCACAGCGGCGCTGTTGACGTGGTCTTCAATTCTGTCAATCTTCTCCTGCTGAGACTAGATGCAAAGGAATCGGGAGTGAGGTGACCTGCTGGGAAGCAGCAGTGAGTCGACAGGCACCATTTTAATGCCTGTAATCAGGGCCCCGCGGCCACGCAGCCCTCATGGTGCTGCTTCCTCAACAGCAGCTCAAACTCTGCTGAAACTACACACTTACTTACAAAAAAAAAGCTTAATTATTAAGTAATAATATGGTGTGGGTACTATACAGTGCAGCTAGAGAAAACAACCCCAAACAGATGATTTCTAAATCTTCACTGTGAATAGATGATGTCGCATTCTGAAGGGAAAACTCATCCAAACCCTGCTGAGTTTCACGTTCAAACAAAATCCTGTCAAGAGCGTTTCTAAGATCAGTACCAACTCCAGCGTACAAAGCTGCACCAAGAAATCTAAACAGAAGTGTTTAATTATGGCATTATAAAACTGACTTAACTTTACAGCGACAGTCCTGACAATATACTTGATGTTGCTCTGTATTTACTACTTAATTTTACAAAAACGTTCCATCCTTTCTCCAAATTCCCCTGCAGTCTCTCTCAGAGAACACCCAAGCTGAAGATAAAGGGGGCTGTGGGTTAGTTTGTTTTTATTTTAATCTCAGCAGTACACAGGCTGGGTTTATGTCACAAAATAATGAGATGGCTAATGGTCACCTTAAAAGAAAAGGCACTCTGAACTTTTTTCCTCTTTCTAATTCAGAAACTACCGAATCCACCAGCTCTTGTATCTTCATCTACTATCCAAATGCACACACTTTAGAAGCTTGCTATTATATCTAATGATGATTATACATAAAGTCCAGAAAGTCCTGGGAACAGGAACTCCTCCTTTTTAGCTAACCCTGCTAACATTTAGGCTACTGAGTAAGAATTTTTGCAGGCCCTCTCCAGCCTAATAAATTTTAAGGGTTTTTTTGTATATTTTGAAGCAGCACATATTCATCAGAATGGATAAAATTTGGCTTGTCTATCCCAACTAACCCAACAGCGAGGAGATGAAAGAACTCTCCTGGGAGACGAGAACTGTGGATTTAAATTTCCTGCAGCACAGGAAGAACTAAACATTTGGTGTGTGGATGATAAAGACCTTTTGGCAGCTTTGCAAGAGCAGAGTAAGGGCATGGTAAAGGTGAGGGAAAAGAGATTTTTCTAGTACTGCTGACTAAGTGAGCAAATGTCCCTGAGAAACACCCGCCCTGTGCCATGAAGGCTATTGGCACCATCGTGATTAGAAATGGTAAAAGCGAATGGGACTCAGGCAGAAGTTTGTGGGCAGCACTGCAGACCTGCTGCTACGGTTCCACCTGCAGCCAAGGGCACCAGCTAGAACATCAGTTGTTGCTCTGATGACAAGAACTTAGGAGCAATTACCACCAATAGTGCTGAAACAGGAGACTATTGCCACCTAAAAAAATAACCTTGACAGAGCCTGAATCAAGAGGAGAGCCACAAAGACACTTGCAGCAATGAATCACTGAGGCAGGGCAGGAAGAGATGTTAGTTTTCTAACCAGAAGGGGCAGCTGGGTAGTTAAATTAATGCTTGTGAACATTCCTCTTCTGTTGGCATTTGAAAATCAAAAGAAAACCTTTCACTGTACAGCGAGACAATTTGATGTAAGCATTCTATGCATCACCTGTGACTCTGGAAAGTAATGTAATGTCTTTGAAACTATAGGTGTATTTACCATTGGTCCCAGGTAGCAGAGTCAGCACTTCTGTGCAGGCATCTCAGCTCACATCTCAGAGGAAACTGCTCTGCCTCTACTGGCGTTTTCCTGAGGTTCCTAACAGTGACTAGGATTCTGTAGCCTTGAATATTGGTCTGAATATATTCAGTTAATATTATTCTGCTCTTTTATCACTTGGATCACACAATACTAGCTCAGTCTGAGTTCCGACTGCTGGCAGAAGTAGTGCTCATCTTTATGACCCATTCTCCCTCTTTTTGTACAAGGCTCTATCCAGGACAGAATGCAGGATTAATACTTACGCTGACTAAGACAGAAAAATCAGTCACCAACTGGCTAAGCTGAATCAAGTCCTACAAATAAAAAACAAAAGTTACTTTGTAGTAGTTGCAAGGAGCAAGAGCACCGGTGTGGCAGTGGGGGAGTTCTGGACATACCTCTTCCAAAGTCTCCCAGGACTCCGCTGCATTTTCTTCCTGAGGTATGTCGGGAAGGCGGGAGGAGAGCTGGATTAAACTTTGGGAGCCATCCTTCACTTCCGTGTTATACAAAGTCTCTGAATGAGAAAGATGATGTTTATGAATAAATGCACTGAATCAGAATGCAGGGGATGTGCAGAGTTTCTCACTTGTAACGTTTCTTAAGGGTAAATTTCTACTTAACCTAATTCAAGCCAAGCAACAGCCCTAAAAATAATCATATAGGGAAAAGTCTTACAGCACTAGACAGTTTCTTAAAAGGAATTTTTTGCCAAAGAAATGGATTAATTTCTACCAGCACACTTTCACAATCAGTTCTCAGAATGATATTAAATTATACTCCTGAATTCAAGGTCAGTTAATTAATTTTGTATCAACCAAGCTAAGAAAACCAAGCTTGGGGCAAAAACTTTTCATTTACATATGACACATTAAAACACTGCGCTTCCAAAACTGAGCAGACAGTCACTCTTTTTAAGATTGATTATTACACTGCTGGTTTGACTTTCAGCCATTTGGGACTAGAAGCTGGAGGAAAAAGCTTTCATAGTGAAAGCAGTGAAAACCAAGTACCATGCTGCCCAGTCGTCAGTGCTGGCTCCAGTCGGGTTGCGGTGCTGCGAGGATGGCAAGCACTGGCAGCTCAGTGGTATAGAGGAGACAGTCTCGAGTGGCTTCCTTTCTAAGTCACCCAGACCGAGTGCAGAAGACATTAGGACATGATGGAAAAATGAGGAATGAGAGATAGATAGGTGGCATGGGAGAGAGCAGAATGAACAAACATGCACCTCCCCCCGCCTGAGAGCCTGGTCTTGAGCCACTGTGGAGGTAATGGACATGTGCACAATTATGGACAAGTAATTAAGTGCTAATCAAGAAAAATACCAAAGAAGATTGGCTTGTCACAGCAAGGACTAAGTCACTGCTCACGAGTCTGGAAGGCAGACTGGAGAACGTATGTATGCAAACACAGAGCAAAGACCATGGCAATTTAGACAACTTCAGTTGCTGAAGGAAGAGACAGCTACTTTAGTAGGACACTGGTGTTTCCTTCTTTGGGGGGGTACTATCAAGAGAAAGCTTAATATGGGGAAGACTGGTTAGATATGTCTAACAATACTAAAGTGTAAATATTGCATTAAAATCTTTTTTAGAAACAATCAGTGTGCCAAAGTACTGTAATGTTATATTATCATATAACTGGTACTACAACAGACATGAACAATGGAAAACAAATAATAATCATAAAAGGCAGTAATAGTGCATGCTTATTTATGGAATTAATTGACGATAAAATAAAAATTATACATTTTCCTAACATTTGTCCATTTCTCAACATTTTTATCCCAGTATCTCAAAACACATTAAGGACCTAATCTTCCTACTCTCAGATCAACAGCAATCTAACATCAATGATGCTGACACTCAACTGTCATTACTGAGTAAGCAGAGTAACAACGATGGAGTGAGCGATTTGGGGGGGTTATCTGGGGCTTGGTTTTCTTTCTAACTATTTCTACCCCTTTTCCTATAAGAATCCAGGCATGAAAGGCATTTCGCCTTCTACAATCATCACCTGTTCTTCCAGAACATATTTTTGATTTATCACATCAGATAAATTGCTGCTATATACTCAGTTCTAAAATACTGCTTTTACCTTTTCAACATAATTAATCACGTATCCAAATCTGTGCCTTTTTGGAGGAACCAATTCTGCGACATGCTCTGACATTTAGTATCAGGTTTGGAGTATTTTATTCCATTTCAATGTTTCACAATCCTATTTCAAAATCAAATTTCTTCTGCCAAGAAAAACATACTCTTCCCTAGTCAGCCACATGCATGCTAAGTTGGTTGAAATTAAAATATTTGTAATTGAAAGGAAAAAAAAGCTCACCAAGCAAAACTGCCTCCTCATAAATTATGTTCCCTACTGTAGTCTGTCCTTAACAATCTATGCTGTTTGCAGAAAAGCACATCCTTCAAAGTACATAATGATAGCAAAGTTTTGCATGGCACACACAAGAGAAAGCAAGTTTAAACAGGGTGACACTGTGGCCATTTTCTGATATTTAAAAATCAGTGGGAAAAAATTCCTCAAGAAAATTCTTTACTCACTTAAAAATACTAAGGTAAAGAACAAGAAGGGTAAGAGAAAGTGAAGTCACACTTGGGCTGAAAGTACAAGTAAGAAATTGATATTCACTAGTTTATGTTTTATCAAGTTTAACCAATTGTAACAAAAGTGAGAATGGAAGTGGCTCCACCAGTTCAGTTACAGCATCTGCACAGACAGGCAGCAACACAAAACACCTGCAAGTTCCACAGAGCAGCTTCACACCTTATTACACTCAAGATAAAAATCTAATGCTCTGGAAGATTCAGTGTTGCTCAAAAGATTTCAATAATTTTAAGAGTGAAGTCTCACCTTTTGTTAATATTTGTTTAAAATGCAATTAAATTCCATTTCTATCGGACCTCGGCTGAGGATGGTGAAAGAGGGAAGGGACTACATCGTTATCACTGACATGCCTTCGAAATGGGCCATTTGAATTTGTAAACTCCCTCCTTCTCTACCAGATGGGAAGCAACGTGCTACAAAGAATCAGCTTACTGAAGCTCCTTTGATTAAGATCAGCAGCCAAGATTTGCTTTCAGGACTGCAGCCTCTAAGCACAAAAGAATAGGCGAGATATTGCATCTGTGTTAGCGATTCAAGAGCTGCTTTCACAGGCAGGCAAACTTGAAAAAAGCATCTGGTTAATTGTATTTAGTTGTCTGCCTGACTGCATGTTTCACTTTAAATGGGGTGAATTATTTCCATATTCTTAAGCAGACTTGCAGGAGCATGTCATTCCAGTGTTCTTCTCATCCCAATCTTTCTGATTAATCTCTTGTCTTTCTGAAGTGCTGCCATGCTCAGTGTCCTCCACGCATTAAAGGTATTTCAGATTAAAAAAGCAGTCCTGTTCTTTGAAGATGAACTCTAGTCCCCATTTGCCACCTACGCAACTGTTAGAAAAGCACTAAGACAGGACACGGCCTTTCCCATTAAATAGCAGAACGTATTGAGGACAATTGCAGAAAGTTACCAAAAGAAGAGCTAGTTTAAATTTAGTTCTGATTTTAATGGAGAAGAGCTCATGAGGAGCCTGAAAGTAATGGCTAATAGGGATGAAAGTGATCACTGAATACCAGAGTTCACTATTCTAAAACCCAGAACAAAAGACTGAAGACAATGAGGTATCAATAAATTTCTTAAACTGATTAATAGGAATTTCTCTGGGAAAGAAATTCCTAAAGGATAAAGAACTGCAGAAGATCTGTAGAGTCTTTATACAAATAGGGAGCTGTATTCAGGTATTTGATGCAATTCATTTAAACAAGAAAGAAAAAAAAAAGCATAGGCTGAAATGTCAAGAGAACAGGTTAAAAATATTTAGACGATCTAGATCTACGCAAGTCCTGAAGGTTTGATGAAATTCACTCTAAGGTATTTAAGAAACAGCCTCTGAAAGTTCAAGAGTATTCTGAGAACTTGAATAAGGGGGTCCCAGAGGGCTGCGGAAGAACAGATTCAGTTCCTTTTTTGGAGGGGAAGGAGAATGCATCAAATAGCCAGACTCTGAAACCCTCAAAATAGTTTCAACTACTGGACAATCAACTACAACACTTAAGTTGTTGAAAAAGTCAAGATTCATACATCAAAACCCGATTCAGTCTTTTTTATTGGCCCAAAAAGAAGACAGAAACTTTTGATGAAGAGGATGGTGAGTCACTGGAACAGGTTGCCCAAAGAAGTTGTGGATGTCCTCTCCCTGGAAACACTCACGGCCAGGTTGGACAGGGCTTTAAGCAACCTGGTCTAGTGGAAGGTGTCCTTGCCCATGGCAGGGAGGATGGACTAGATCATCTTCAAAGGTCCTTCCAACACAAACCATTCTATGCTTCTGTATTTGATATACCTTGATATTCGTAAAGCTTTCTGATACCACTGCACATGACATTCTCCAGAGCAAGCCCAGTCTTCAGACCTACTGGTCTCTTCCCCCTGTTTGACCACTAGACTCGCCAGCTTGTTAATCACACTTGGAAGAGTTCTTGTAGTTCCTTGTGTACCAACAAGAAGGGGCATGAAATCAAATTTAATGGCAGGTTCTTTTACAAAGCCATTGACTGAGAATACTCTTGCAGTTTTAAGACACATAAAATTTTCAAACAATTCTTAAAAACACTGCTACAGAGGCAGTCAAACCTCTTATGTGGGAAGATTTAACCCTGTATAACCAATTTTCTCACAAAGCATTTGCAGAGAACACTAGCTGATGGCAGGGCACAGTAAGTGTTTCCCCTGAAGACAGAACGGTAGAACAAGGAATGAAAGACATTTTGGAGAGGAGAGAAAAACAACAAACCTGTCTGACTTGTAACATGCTATAGTGTGATTTCAAAATGTTCTACTTAAATGGATCTATACTGTTTTCTGATTTCTTGTCAGTTACCAAGTTAAAATGCTACAGATGTTCTCCTTTACGTAGAGACTTGCTCTTCTTTTCCACGTATTCCAGCAGTGGCATATTCTCTCACATAAAAATTTCTCTCTTCTTGACGCTGCAATCATAGAATCATAGAACCATAGAA